ATGGTAATCTTCTTCCCATTTTATCTACTGGTTCTTCATCTATTATTACGTCTTCGAAGCCTCTTCAATTAAAGAATGTTTTATATGTTCCCTCTCTACAAAAGAATCTAATGTCAGTTCAGCGTTTATGTGGGGATACCAAAAATTGTCTCATTGAGTTCACTGACTATGGTCTTTTTGTTAAGGACAAGAAGACCAAGCAAGTGTTACTCCGTTGTGAGAATAATGGCTCTCTCTATCCAGTTCACATAGTCTCAAGTCGCTCCTCTGATGTTGCTCTTTCAAGTGTTGTCTCGCCTTCCTTTCTTTGGCACCAACGTTTAGGCCATCCGGGGCAACGTTCTCTTGCAACTTTAGTTCGTAAGGGTTTTATTCCATGTAATTCATCTTTTGAATCTTCTGGTTGTAATATTTGTCACCTGGGCAAACAATCTAAGTTGCCATTTAATTCCTCTCATAATATTGCACACTCTCCTTTTGTTTTAATTTATTCAGATGTGTGGCAAGCTCCATTTAGTTCAAATTCTGGTTTTTATTATTATATTTTATTTTTTGATGACTACACAAAGTACTCTTGGATTTATTTAATGCGGAACAAGTCAGAGGCGTTTGATAAATTCAAAGAATTCTATAAAATGGTCTCAAAAATTTCCAATTCATCTATTGCATATTTTCAATCCGATGGTGACAGAGAGTATAACAATTCTCTTTTTCGTTCTTTTTTAGCGAGCATGGAATTATTCATTGCTTGTCTTGTCCATATACCTCCGCTCAAAATGGTCGTGCAGAAAGAAAGCATCGACATGTTAATAATCTGATAAGATATCTTCTTTTTCAAGCTTCCATGCCTTTTTCTTTTTGGGCGGTTGCCTCTCTTTTTGGGGTTCATTTAATTAATATCACTCCTCTTCCTGCTCTCAATTTTATTTCTCCTTATGAAAAATTGTATGGTAAACCACCATATTACAATTTAGTTAAGGTATTTGGGTGTTTGTGCTACCCTTATGTTGCACATTCTTTTGCTCACAAGTTTCAGCCTCGTTCTACACCTTGCTTATTTCTTGGACTATCTCCTCAACACAAGGGGTTCAAATGTTTGGACCCATCCACTAATCGATAATTATTTCACGTCATGTAAATTTTATAGAATCCTTGTTTCCCTATGTTCCTATATTTCCAGGAACGTCTACTCCAATTTCAAATCTTTATTTTTCTTCATCACCAAAAGCCACGCCACCTTCTCCTACTTTTTCTCCAAATAGTTTGCATAAAACGAGTGGCTCACCAACTGCTATCTCTAATTGTGATTTCATCTCCACATCAAATATAGCTTCTTCCCCCTCTATCTCTTTAACTCCTCAAAACATGTCTATAACTTCACCTAGGACTCTCTCTTTCTCCCGTTCAAATAGTGATAAATTTGCTCAACTTCCTACGCATGTTGCACGCTCTTCAACTGTTTCGTATTTAACTCCATCAGCATATCTCCACAAAATTCTAATTATAATTCAAATCCTTCAACTCCCCTCCAATCTTCTTCCTTATCTCCACAAAATAAGCAACCTTTTTCTACCATAATACCGTCTACTCCTACATCTTTGCAACCAACTTCAAATATACCTGTTTCTATTTCTAAGCAAACTGTACAATCCTTATCTCCTAATAATTCTAATTACTCTCAACCATTAGCTTCCGAACAATCAGGTACTCGTTCACATGTCATGATTACTCGTTCTATGACCGGGTCTCTAAAACCACGTGTTCTTCCCTCACTTAGTGTCTCTCTTTCTAGTACACCTTGTGAACCAACTTCCTTTACACAAGCTGCAAAGGACCCTAGGTGGCTTAATGCAATGAGTGAAGAGTTTAACGCTCTCCTACAAAACCATACTTGGATATTAGTTCCTCCACCTCCCGATGTGAACATTGTAGGGAATAAATGGGTATATCGGATTAAGTGAGGTGCTAATCGTTCTATCGACTGCTTCAAAGCTTGTTTGGTTGCGCAAGGATTTTCTCAACAACCAGGCTTAGATTATGCAGATACCTTTTCCCCTGTGATCAAAATGAGCATTGTCCGTCTAGTGCTATATTTAGCTCTTCTTAATAATTGGTGTATGCATCAACTGGATATCTCTAACGCCTTTTTACATGGTGAGTTAAATGAAGTTGTTTATATGCGCCAACCCAGAGGTTTTGAAAATCCAGATTATCCACACCATGTTTGCAAGTTAAGACGTGCACTTTATGGGTTGAAACAATCGCCTAGGGCGTGGTTTACTCGACTTCCGACTTATCTTTTGGACCTTGGTTTTGCACAATCTATCTCAGATCATAGCATGTTCATCTTCCGCAGAGAGAGTGCTATTTTGATTCTGCTCGTTTATGTTGATGACATTGCTATTTTTGGATCATCCAAGATGCTTGTTTCTCAATTTATAACATCCATGAAATCTGAATTCGCAATGAAAGATCTTGGCTCCCTTCGCTATTTTCTCGGCGTGGAGATAGTTCATAATAATGATGGGGTTCTTTTGTCGCGAAGGAAGTATATATTGGATCTTTTGCATAAGTTCGATTTGGCAGAAGTCAAACCTGTTCAAACTCCTCTTTACAGCAAAATTGAATGGCATTCTGATGCTACACCACTTCTTGATGATCCTTCTCTGTATCGCCAAATGGTAGGTAGCCTTCAATACTTATCATTTACGCGGCCGGATATACAATTTGCTGTGAACATGGCTTCACAATTTCTCCATCAACCTTGGCTAGTTCATCTTCAAGCTGTTAAGCGGATTTTTCGTTTTCTTAAAGGAACACATTCTCATGGCTTGCAGCTCTGCAAACAGTCCTCCGTCTCTCTAACAATATTTTCAAATTCGGACTGGGCAGGTTGTGCGGCAACTTGTCGATCAACATCTGGATTTTGCATCTTTCTTGGGAGTAACTTGATCTCTTGGTCTACAAAGAAACAACCAACTGTTTCCCGCTCCAGCACAGAAGCTGAATATCGTGCACTAGCTGTTGCAACTGCTGAAGCTAAATGGATACAATTTATCTTACGTGACTTGGGCATTTATCTGTGTACTCCTATTCTTGCAAAATGTGATAATATTGGTGCCATACATCTGGCGCATAATCCAGTATTTCACTCCAGATCGAAACATGTCGCTTTGGACTATCATTTTATTCGTGAGAAGATTAATCAAGGTGATCTTACTGTTTCTCATGTTCCAACTTCGCAACAGCTTGCAGATATCTTTACTAAAGCTGTCTCTGCTGCAAAATTCAAGGAGTTTGTGTCCAATCTTCATGTTCGTTCCTCACCTTCAGATTGAGGGAGGGTGACAAGGATATTATTGTAATTAGTGTTGTACGTATATGTTGTAGTTAGTTTCATTGACACAGTTTCTTGTATCTTAATATAAATGAGAGTACTTCTGGCCTCTTAAACTCAAGCAGGCCTTTGTAAACTATTCTGTATTTGCCATCAAAAAAGTAGTCTTACACACATTCACATTCATTGTTCTCCGCATTAATATTTCGTTTGTTCTCTTGTTTCAGTATAGCATCATTTATGTTCTCGTTTTAGTCATTTACTTTTCAAACATAATAAATTTATGCCATTGTTTCATGTTTTCATGTGTATTTGCCAAATCATTCATTTGATGAGCTTGCAGTTGGTTTGATTTCCATTAAGTTTCTACATCTTGGTGATTCCTGTGCTCAGGTTCTTAGATCCTGAAAGAAGAAAGTGATAAAAGAAAAATCTGGCACAAAAAATGTTGATTCAACTAAACATTAGTGACTCCAGCAACCAATGAACATCATTAATTCAGAAAACAAAGGTGATTAACCAGTCTATACGATTCACGTGCAAATCAAGTTATAATTTGGTGAAGCAGACTGATTTCCCAATGGCATACCATTTTTCCCTTTCACACGTGTCAGTCAGGTGAGTCTTAACTGCTAGTTTTAACAGTGTTGTGAGAGTTTTCTGTTAGTTGGACCATATGCGCAAAGTTTTGCAAACTTAAAGAACAATTGGTGCTAAGGATTATATTTACAACAACAACAACAACCCAGTGGGGTCTGGGGGTAATGTGTACGCAGACATTATCCCTACTCCGGAGGGGATAGAGAGGCTGTTTCCGGGAAAGCCTCGGTTCAGAGACAATAGATCTGTGACAACAAAACCCGTAAAAATAATATCAACCTAAGGATTATATTTGGAAGACAAAATTAAACCAATCCTTAAAGATAAAGGATAATTTTGCCAAAAACTCTAATAGACTCGATAAAAAACTGAAGCCAACCGTGAGGCCGCTTATGTATTTAGCGTTTAGGAAATGTAAAGATGAGATTTATAGCTTGTTTGGCCAAGCTTCTTTTTGGCCAAAAGTGCTTTTTTTTTTTTGTCAAAAGCACTTTTGGCCAAAAATTGAGGTGTTTGGCCAAGCTTTTGAAAGGAAAAAAAGTGCTTTTGAGGAGAAGCAGAAGCAGTTTTGGAGAAGCAGAAAAAGTAGCTTCTCTCCAAAAGCACTTTTTTGAGAAGCACTTTTGAGAAAAATACACTTAGAAGCAGTTTTTTAAAGCTTGGCCAAACACTAATTGCTGCTCAGAAGTGCTTTTCAAGCTAATTAGCCAAACACAAACTGCTTCTCACCAAAAGTACTTTTGAGAAAAGCACTTTTGAAAAAAAACACTTCTCAAAATAAGCTGATTTTTGCAGCTTGACCAAACGGGCTATTAAAATAAATGCGAAGCTCGCATGTTACATGTCGTTTTCTTTCACTCCCCCTCCCCCCACCCCCCACACCCACACACACATCTCTGCCTTCATACATACGCTTTAATTGAGTTCTCCCTATTAATTGCCTATTGCCGTTTTAAAGAAATTACTTTTAATGAATCTAACTTTCTGTCAAATGTCTCTTTCTCAAGCAAAATTACAGCTCTGCAAAAAATAATAGGAGTATTTATTTATATATATTAATTCTTGGTGGAGGTATGCTTGTCACATATCCTCTCTACACTTGTTCAAAGAAATAGAGAGAAACCACAATCTCATTACACTTTCAAAATAAACACGCACAAAACACACACTAATACAGAAAAATAAGAGAGAAATCAACTGGTTTCTTGAGTCACGGACAAACACAAGTGTAAGGTCTGCTTGAGGAATTTCAGTAATGATAGATCTTTGGGTGGCCATATGAGATCTTACATGATGAATCTATACATTCAACAAAAACAGCAGATCAGTGAAGAAACAGATTCAATTTTGTTGTGTTCATCATCCTCAGAAAGTGAAAAGACTGAAGAAAAAGAGATGTTAAAGAAGAGCCTTAGAATTATGGATCTTCAAGATAGAGAGAGTGAAACCGAGTCATCACATATCCAACACAATGTGGCGGATTAAGAAATCAAGAATCTCATATACACATTACATGTCAAATTATGATTATAGGCACGTAGCATATGCGGAAAGTTGTGCGTACGCCAGTGCTCGTGTCCCTTCCTCTGAGCCAGTGAGTTCTATCTGGGACACGTCGCCGGAGGAAGATGTTGCATATTGCTTGATGATGCTATCTAGAGATAAGTGGAGGAAAAAAGAAAAAGAGAAGGATCAAAAGCAAGATAAAGTGACTAAGACTAGAACTAGAGGTAAGTACAAATGTGAAACATGTAGCAAATTTTTTAGATCTTATCAAGCACTTGGGGGTCACGTAGCAAGTCACAAGAAGATTAAAGTTTCAACTAATAAAACATCAGAAACTGTGGAAACAAAATATAAAGAAGTAAAAATACATGAATGTCCTGTTTGTTCCAGAGTATTTTCATCAGGCCAAGCTCTTGGTGGACACAAGAGATCACATGGTATTACTTCAACAAAAATAAAATTATCAAGAATTGATAGGACTATGATAGATCTCAATGTTCCTGCTTCACTAGAGGATGCTGAGATTATTACTCAGATTGAGTTTTCTTCAGTTTCTGATGCTAAATTTGTCAACCCCATCAAGCCACTGAAAGTGAAATTATTGTAATGTTAAAGGAACTCACGAATTAGAGGTAAAGTTTTGTTCATTTTTCCTTTTTAGGATTTTTGGTGTGGACCTAAGGAAATTGATCAGTGCGTTTTCATGGAAAAATTTGGCACTTTTCATGACTTTTACCCAATTAAATAGTTCCACTGTAATTTATTTTTTCAATTCTGTTCTCTTTATGTAACAGCTAATTTTACAATATCTATTAATAGTGAAATCTACATGATTCAACTTCACTTTTGTAAATCAGTATTCATATTCACCATGTTTTATTAGATAACATATAACACGCGATTCTATACAGGATAGTGAGTAGATAGTAAACGGAGAACTTACAGGTTCTTTGTGTAACCAAAGAGGAAGGCTGAAATGAACCGTGACTGAAATTAGTGATCGGTGGTGATTATCATCATATATTGGGACAACCCCAAAGTCACAGTCTAAAGCCTAAATAAATTTGACAGAGAAGAGATAGCAAAAAGTATGAGAGATTGAGAATTCTATCTCTCGTATATCCCAGTGGGCTCTTAGAGCCGGGGGCGAATCTAGAGGTATGGGTATAGATTCCCGGAATCTAGTAACTTTTGCTCAGATCCCGTATTTGTAATAAGAAATTCATTGAATATATAAATATATTTAGATGGGAATCCAGTTCCAAAATGTGCTGTTGGTTCCATGGTAGTATGTTGGAGCCCAGCTTCTGCACACTACCTATGACCCATTGATGCAAGTTTCAACCTCTTTAAGCACTTTCACTTTTCTCTTTGGTTTTTTAACAAAACGTTACAAAACACCACTCGATCTTACAGCTACGTTTTTAGCTTCTTTCTTATTTTATTTAAAAAAAACATAATAAACAACTAAAGTCAAACTAAAAATGAACCAAATCCCAATTTTCCAAATCAACCATTGAAACAAAAAGGATGAGAAATAAGATGTCAGGTTTTTAAAAGCCTTGTTGCGCGACTAATTTAAATTGTAAGAAAAAGTTCTTTCACTAGAAAATAAAGCAAAATAGGAGCCAATTTTCGACTTTTGTCACGGCCACTAAAAAATAAGCCATTGCCATTTGCCAGGTCCTTCACTCTCCCTCCTTTTTTCTTCCTTTCATTTCTTTTCTTCTTATATTATATATTTGTTATTTTCTAAATATATTTTGAATATCATATTCGTTCCTTAGTCAAATTATTATGATATATTAATTTGAGTTTGCGATAAGAACCGATAAACATTAAATTCTGGATCCATCTCTGCTTAGAACGGTTCGAATAAAAGATTTGCACAAATAGGATCCTTTAGGTGACATTATTTATATTTTGACATTGGAAAAATAGGCTCGCTGCTAGAATATACACTTTTTGATTAACGAATGCAGTTAGTTTTAACCGACCGACTAATTTTATATTTTGCCTAAAATACATTACTGAATAGACAATAAATAAACAAAGGGTTCCTTCAATCCTCCAGTAATTGTATACAGTGGGAATCGGGGATACCTGATTTCGTTCTTCGATGGAAAAGTTGATACCACGTCGAGAGGCCAAGACGCCGAGCTCGGGGTCGAGGTTCGTTTTCAATGCCGAGGTTGAGGTCGAAATCATTTGCCGAGGTCGGAAGAAGACATATCTCGAGATAATACTGTTATGGCTTAGTAAGAGAATGAGCTAGATACCCGCAACGGCCCGATGAACCCGGCGTAAATTGCGGAATGGATCGACCCTTGGCGGTTAGACAGCTGTCAATTATGATTTCTTACTGTAATTAGAAGTGTACCTTATTTAGGACTCCCCCTATTATATAAAGGGGAGCCCATTCATTTGTAAGACACGTTTTTAACTGACAATATAATACATACACCTTATTCTCTAGCTATTCACTGTTCATCAGAGTTGCTTTGTAACTTGCTATTCCTACTATTCCACCTCGAGGCCATCATAGCTCGAGGTCAAGATTTGGTTTGCATACTGGTTTGACTTATTTTATTCTTCAATTTACACATTTAATTCCTTGTTTACCAATTGGTATTGGATTAAATCACATATCTCCCTTAAACCACAATATAAGTTTAATTGTTACTCGGATTTTAGGGTAAACAGTTTGGCGTCCACCGTAGGGCTAAGGACAATATTGATTTTTTCAGTGTTGATTCTGATAACACACATTATTTTCACACTTGTTCTTGTCAAGAATTTCTGTTCTCAGGTTAAAACATGTCAAACTCATAAAGCGCACCCGTACATGGTGATGATGGTCTTGGATTTCACAGGGAAAATGATAACGTAATTTCTCCAAGAGTTGGGGTGTCACCAGCTAATCTCGAGGGAGTATCAGTCGATCCAGTCAATATCACTTCGCACATTGTTTTGAATGCGGATTTAGGCACAGACCCCGAAGGGAGTGTACGCAGGGAAGGCCAGTCTGGTGTCCAAGGAACACAGGGCGTAGGAGACAGGGGAGTTAGCCTCTAGGTAATATTCGAGATGCTACAGGCTTAGCATGCTGCTATCGCTCAGCTTCAAAGTCAACATAGAACTCCGAGTGTGGTCGAACCAGAGATCACTCGCCATACCGAGCTAGTGCTAGAAAGGTCGAATGGTAACGGATCAGGGACTGACCCTACAATTATGAAGATGCTCGAGGAGCTCACCAAAAGAATCAAGTCGGGAGAGAAGAATACTGAAGATAATGATTAAAAAGTGGAAGTATATAACTCCCGAGTTGATCAGATACCGGGGGCACCCCCGATCTTAAAAGGTTTGGATGAAAAAAAGTTCGTGCAAAAGCTTTTTCCTCAGAGTGCAGCTCCAAAGCCCATTCCTAAGAAGTTCAATATGCTGGATATACCTAAATACAACGGGACAACCGATCCTAATGAACACATCACTTCGTACACATGCAGGATTAAAGGAAATGACTTAAATTACGACGAGATCGAGTCGGTTTTGTAGAAAAAATTTGGGGAAACTTTGTCAAAGGGAGCAATGATTTGGTATCACAACCTGCCACCAAATTCTATCGACTCCTTAGCCATGTTAGTAGACGCCTTCGTGAAGGCGCACGCCGGGTCCATAAAGGTCGCAACAAGGAAATCGAACGTTTTTAAGATAAGACAGAGGGGTGATGAAATGCTGAGGGAGTTCGTATCCAGAATTCAAATGGAACGCATGGAGTTTCCACTGGTCACAGATGATTGGGCCGTTCAAGCTTTCACCCAAGGGTTGAACGAGCGAAGTTCGATAGCATCACGACAGTTGAAACAAAACTTGGTCGAGTATCCAGCTGTAACCTGGGCAGATGTGCACAATCGATATCAATCGAAGATCAGGGTCGAGGA